AAGTCCAGGCTGGGTTTAGAAGGGGTTGTGGTACTAGGGATATTGTAGCTGATGTTAGATGGATCTTGGCTGAAAGCAGGGAATACCAGAGGAATGTTTATGTGTGTTTCATTGACTATGCAAAGGCATTTGACTGTGTGGATCATAACAAACTTTGGCTGACTCTGAGAAGAATGGGAATCCCAGCACACTTGATCATGCTAATGCGAAACCTATACTTGGACCATTCTCATCTTTCTCTCCTTCGATCAAAGTCCAGGAAAGTGTTCTGTGAATACTCACGATTAAATATGATACTTACTGATGCTCCTTTTTCTTGCTTCTTGCTGGTGGTCACTGTCTCCATACCTTATGATCTGTCTGTTTCCCGACCTCAGGGTTCAGTGGGTGTTTCTCACAGGAACTCCTGGCCATTTCTCCCTGACCCGGAGCACAGGCAGACTTTGAATATAAAGCTCAGCAGGGCAGAGTGTGTGTGTGAGTGGCATCTTGGGAGACCCAGCCAAGTGCTAGCCATAAGCCCTGTGCAGTGGCTTGGGGGCAGTGGTGATTCATTAGCAGAATTCTAACCTTCCATGTGAGAAACAGAGTTTGACCCCTAGGTACGAACCTCACACATACCTGTCCGTTGAGCCTTCCAGTGAGTCTAGGAATGCATTTCTAAAAAGCTTCCAGGCTAAGATAGATTAGAAAGAAAAGTCTGGCAATCTGATTCTGAAAATCAGTCCGTGAAAACCCTGTGTATTAAAACAGTCTGATTTACAACTAATCACAGGAGTGCTAGTGTTTTGTTCCATTGTGCATGGTGTTGCATAGCCAACTCAACTGCAGTTAACAACCACTACCGCCACTTTATGTTGTGCCACAATTGCGAGTCCTGCAAAGACCACTGAGATGCCAAATCCAATGCAAAAGCATGAGGGTCTTTATTACAAGCTTGTGCAGGAACTCACTCTGATGCAGCGACAGTGGGGAGGAGCCATAATCTTTATTGGTGCTAGAAGGGGCCAGGGTCACTTGGGGCCTGGGAGATATAAGGGGATTGGGGAACTTGTGGGGGAAGATGGCGGCGACACAGAGCGACTGGTTATTTTGAAAATGAGCGGGCTCATTAGCAAGGATGCGAATATTTGGCAAACTATGATTGGAGTAGGGTTCATATAGGAGGGGTTCGAGTCACTTCTTTGTTGCTGAGGTCATTTCAGGAAGTGAATTCAAGGAAGTGAACGCAAGGACAAAGTACTTAAGATGGCAGCCAGACCAGAGATGATAGATGATAGATAGATAGATAGATAGATAGATAGATAGATAGATAGATAGACAGACAGACAGACATCATATAACAAATCTTGACTCTTACATTTTAAGTCCCAGCACTTGCTCTCTCCTTTTCCAAATATCTTCTGCTGCTGAGATTCCTCAAGGACTCCTGGAATACTACTCTATTGTGCTTTTTGCATATAGAGGGGATTCATAAGCAAAAGCCTTCTCAGGAGTGGTTGTGAGTCATCTGTACACCTGATTGCAATCAGTGCTGTTCCATCCCACCTGGTAGATTGTACCACTGCTCTTCTGGGTGCCAATTCTTGTGATCATTCACAGTCTTAGCTACTGCTGTAGAGTTTACAGGTACTCAGTTCAGCTGGCAACAGTCATTATTTTGTGCTCTGTCACCAAGATAAGAGGATTGGGAGTAGGGGAGAGAGGCCTGATGACTGGTTCAGTAAGCACTTTGCTGGTGGTTCATACAAGATGCATACAAAGGAGAAGGCATAATTTATGGTTGTGGGGATCTCCACGGAGGAGGAAAGCCTATGGAAGCCTGAGGGACCGATACGAGTTTACTTGGTAGAATAGGATGAGGATGGCCTAAGAAGGGGAATGTCGGCATGTTCTGAAGTCAGTGGTGGAGAGGGATGTCATAGCCATTTACAAGTAGGTCCTAACAGGCTCCCCAGTGTACCCTCTGTTAACCCCAGCTTCAGTCTCTTCCCTTTTATATGTGTCTTACACACATAAAAATGTAGAGTTTCTGTCTTTCAGGGCCTTTGCCCAAATTTCTAGTTTTGTGGATTTTTGTGCTCAAAGCTGAGAATCTTCTTTAAAGCCAAGTAGCTCTTGGGTGGAGGCTCTGAGTGTCACAAATGGCTGAGCCAAGGTGGCCTTGGCTCGGAATCTGTATTCTGACTGCTCCCACTTAATAACCGGGTGACTCTGGTGGAAAGATTCTGGCTCAGGCACCAGAGGGGTCAGGCCGAAGACACCCATTTGGGACTCCTGGTAGCAGGCTGCAAAAAGCATAGCTGTGTTCTGCACTGCTCTTTGGAAAATGAAACAGCAGCACTTCCCTCTTGGTTGCGGAAAGAGAGAGTAGTCACAAGTCAGACCTGCGCTGTTGCTGAAACAGGTGTGTGCACCTCCTGGATGCTCCACTCTGCAGTCTGGCCTGCCCTGGGGAATGAAAGCAAAAGCCTTTATGTGGACAAGAGCAGGGAGCTCTTGCAGAGTTTGGACATCTGGAGGTGAGGACAGGGTAGACCTGTCATCAGGAGACAGCAAAGAGAATGGAGCTCGGCCTGCTGCAGGCGTGTAGGTGCTGTGGAGTGGTGTGTTCCAGCCCTTAGGCTGGCTGGCGGTTCTCACTGGCTGCCCTTCCTCGTGCCCTCTGTGACTTGGGTCAGTTGTATCCCTTGTTCTCTCTTCTTTTTGAGGGGTTTCTCACCTGAGACTGTGTGGATATCCAGGGACCTCACCTCCTCAGATGCCAGGTACAAAGCAGGCATGGGCCTGGGGCCACCTGCTGGGTGTGAGTCCCTGGTCTTCCTTCCTCAGACATAACAGGTCAAAATGAGCTTGATGGCAGTGGGTTCTGGTTTTTGTTTGAGTTGGTTTTGGTTCTCACCCCCCCCCATTTAGTTTTATTGTAACAAAGCAACTTAGACACTTTTAACTTTAAAACTGAGCAGCATTTCCAATGAAACAAAAAGATAGTTTAAAAAGAAGCAAGAACAAAATTACAGCAGAGAATGTCAGTTCCAAATAAGATCCTACACATTTTGCTGATACTCCTATTGAGGGGCAGGGCTCAAATCATCATTGTTGTTGTGTACCTTCGAGTCAGAACTGATCCATAGTGACCCTCCAGTGGGTTAACTACACAGAGGTTGATTTCACGTCCTTTTCCTATGGAATGGCTGGTGGATTTGAACCATGTGCCTTTGGGATTGCAGCACAGTTTCTTACCATCTTAAACTGCAAGGATGTTGATTAAACATCACAATTAAATATGCCATAGGAGGAGCTATGTTGCCTAAATGCCCTCTTAACCCACCCAAATATCTCAGACCCCTGGCAGTACTGGGGCAGGCAGGATGTTCCCATCCCGTATAAAGAGGGAGCCACCTCAGGAGTGGCCCAAGGAAGCCAGAGGTGCCTAGCTCCTGTACCCTAGTCATATCGGCACACTAAAGTTAACTAGTATGACTCCAGAGTTCTCTCTCTGGGGTCAGTGCTCCTTTCCTGTGGTTCCTTGCTCCCGGGGCAGCCCTGCTGTGGTGCACCAGGCCATCCAACAGGAATCCCTAACTCTTCTTTCTCTGTTTTTGGGAAACTTCTGATCAGGTTCTTGTTAGCATACTACTGGGAGTTTTCCCAAGGGAGAGCAACCACCATCATAGGATGGATCCTCGGCCCAGTGCAACACCTCCAGGCTCTTCTGGACAAGCCTTCTTTAGGGACTGTGTACATCATGATCACCTCGGGGTCTTACAAGAGGGTCTGTAAGGCCCTCTGATCAGAATGCTTCCCTGGCAGAGAGATTCTCCACAGGGTGTGACAGTTCCTGACTCCTCCTGTCAGTGCACTTGGAAGTCCCTGGAGACCAAGATGGATGTGGGCAGCAGTGGAGATGCTGGATCTGGGGTTCACTGTCCTGGAAGGATTCTCAGGGGAAGCAGAGGAAAGCTCCAGATGTGGGTTGGCCCTGGTTGAATCAGGCAGGGTGGGGGTCACTTTCAGACTGTATTTCAGAGTAGAACTGTATTGCACAGAATTTTCAATGACTGAGTCTTTGGTGTCCCTGGGTGGACTTGAACTTCTGACCTTTTTGCAAGCAGCTGATCCCTTAACTGTGTGCACCACTGGGGACTCTTTTTTTCCCTCCCTGTTGTCATCTCAGAAGGCCATCCAAATCTTGTTGTAGAATGACTTTAGGGATCCTACAGTGCTGGGGTAAGTCCTCCAGACACTTGCCAACAGATGATGAGAAGCCAGACCCTGGCTGACCCCTGGTGGTCATAGTGGGGTTGCCATCTCTCCTCCATGAAGCGTCAGTCTGCTCTGTGCCACAGGGTGGGCTGCGGGCATGTGTGGTGCTCTTCCCAGCAGGCTGAAGTCACGCTGGGCAGCCTTTACTTCAGATCTCTCTGCCTAGCACAGCTGGCACCTTTGCTCAAGGAAACCCCTGTATTGAGGCTCCGGTCTTTGCCAGGGGACCCTGATCCACTGAGCCTGGGCAGTGGGGATTGGTTGCCTTAGGATGTGCCCCTTCCTGAGACCACAGTAGAGAGTGTGCACTGTGTGGACCGGGAAGAGCCCAGAGTGTGGTCAGCAGTGGATTCCTGTGGGGTGACCGTGATGGTAGTTGACCAGTCATGAAGGACATGCAGGACCCCAGGAGCAGGTTTGTCCCACAGCCCAGGTGACCCCCTGATCAGCTCAGCTTTACTGTGGGATGGGCAGGGCACTTCCCAAACCCTGCCTGGGTGTCTCCCAGGGATGGGCTTAGAGACTTAAACTATCTTTTCCTCTTAGTGGGTGTATAACATTCTTGAGAAGAAGTCTGAAGCTGACCGTATTATTTTCGAGAACCCAGATCCCTCTCATGGCTTTATCCTCATTCCTGATCTCAAGTGGAATCAGCAACAGGTAAGGGTCATCCTGGGGCTGGTGGCTTGTGCTTGCCTGTGAGCACCAGGTTGCCAGACCTCCTCAGCAGAGTAAGATTCACCAGGTTGGGGTCCCTGAGCTCTCGGAGGTGACAGTGTGTGCCTGTCACACACGAGCACATGGCTCTTGGGTGTCTCCATAGGGAAGCTCACTTGGGCTGAAAAGTGTTTGCCTCTGTGACCACATTCATCAGCCAAGAGTGAAGTATCTCGCTTCATTCCAGGAGCATGTGGAGCCTCGCATGCTGGGCTCACTGCCTCCATCCTCTCAGACACCAGCAGACTTGAGCTGTGGTGATCCCAACCAAGGCCCCTGAGCAGGTCCTCTTGGAACCTTGGTCCTGTGAGGACCAGGCCATTAGCTCCGTTACCTGCCCTCTGGCCTGCTTGCTTGTCCTACCTAGCCTTTTGTAGCTGATTCATCTTCACTTACAGGTAGCCCTTGGAGGGTCTCTGAGCCTCACCCTCTCTCCCTCTCCCACTTTCCTTTCTCCCTTCATCCATGCCATCCCTCCATGCCACCTCTTCCCCTGGCAGTGCTGGACAGGCTGAGTATTCACACCGTGAAGAATGAGGAGCTGCCCATGGAAGGCAGAGGTGGGAGAGTGAGAACAGATGACCAGCTGACAGTCTCAGCCTTGTGCACACAGGGGTTTCCTCCTGTTCCCTGGTGTCTGTGCCCCACAGACTGCCTCACCTTGCAGGCAGCCTCTTCTGCTGCCCTGGTCTTCCCTGCCCCTCAGACCTTCAAAGGCCCATCAAGTTTGTTTACCTGTCAGTTGGTGGTTTCTGTAACCCCCATGTCCACAGGGTAGAGTGTGGAGGCTGACAGGCAGGGCAGTGGGTCCCTGTCCCTGGTGGGAGCTCCTGGGAATAGCTCCGTGAGAGGGACTCTGAGGGAGTTTCCATAAGTTGCAGCTGGGAGTGCTGATTATTAATGCTAAGTAAAATCAAAGAAGGTGCCCCTCCACATGTGGGGTATTATATTCGAGGCTGAGGAAGACCCGTTTCCACTTGCCTTCCTCTCCACCCAGCCTGTGCTCAGGGAAGTCTGCACTGGTGCTGAGAGGTTTGGGAGCTGGAGGCAGGAGGACCTGTGAAGATGATGGGTGGCTCCATGTTTAGCCACATGGTCAGAGCTTCTGGGTCCCTCACTGGGTCATGAGAGCACAGGTGGTGGACAGCTGATTCCCAGGGTCCCTGGAGATTGAAGAGCCTGGGGTTGCAGGGGGACTGTGGACTCTCTCAGGCACCAGAACGAGGGACAACAAGATTGACTTGTCCATCTCTGCTCAGGAAGTCACTGCACCCTTCTCAGCCCTCTGGCCCACTGTTGCTGGCAGTCTACCTTGTCTGCTGATGCTCTCGTCTGGGCCCCCTTCACAGTGGGACAGATCAGAAACTCCACTGGGCATGTAGCCACCTGGCTCATGCTTCACCCATGGGGAAACAAGTTGGTGTGAATGGGCTGGTTCAAACGCCAGGCTCACCTTGGAAATGATTCAGCTGGGCTGGGCTTCCCCTTTGCAGGATTACTGGTTGTCTTGGCCCTGACTGTCTTGTTTTCTCCTCTGAGTTATGGCAGTACACTAAAATGGATAGTCCCTCAGAATGAAGCACTGTGCCCAGAAGGGGGCCAGGGCACACCTGCCCTTTCATTCTTTTTCTTAGACCTGGGGATAATGGGAGAGGTGATCTGATGTCCGTACTGGGGAGAACTTCCTAGCCACCTATTTGCCACCTCGTGCCCCTTCTTCCGTAAGAATGCAGGGTCCCTATTGTAGAGACTCTCTCTCCCCCGGTCCATGCATCTGCCCACTGAACATATACTTAATCAGATGCCTGCTGTTCATTAGAGGCACTTCCTCCCTGGGGCGGGGGGGG